ACCTGGGAGTAGGCTGGTTAGTGTACCTCTATCGTGGTGGTAGTGGTAGTTTAGTGTACCATATGCTGCTGTGGTGGTAGTGGTATTTAGTGTACCAGTACACTGGGTGGTGGTGGTAGTACGTAGGTAATATCCATCCGTTGGATGGTAGTGGTAGTTTACTGTGTACCTAATATCCTGTGGTGGTGGTGGTATTTTATGTGCAGCGTCATATCCATCCTTTGAAGAAAGATTGAGATTAAGTACATTATGTAGACGGTTGAGGTGGAGAGAGTGAATAGTGTATAAGTGGAGATGGTATTAAAAAGGGAATTAATAAGTCTTGAGGATATCTTCAAGAGAGAAGAGTAATGGATTTAAATAGATGAAGTTTGATGTGTAGTAGAGCAAGGAAAGTTTGGTTTGGAAATAGGGTAGTGAGAGTGGAACAGGTTACATAGTTGGGTTTGGGTGGTGGTAGTAAATTTAGGTGATAGTACAGGTGGGAGGTTGGTTTGAGTGGGACTTAATGCAGTTTATTGCTGGGTGGATGTGGTGGTCAAAGTTGGTTAGTGGGATGACTTGTAGAAGACTCTGGCTAGTATGGGCCAACAGGCTCCTGGCAGTGTGTGTCTTATGTTCTATGGTGGGCTATTATTTGTGAACATACCATGCGTGGAGTAGTGGTTAGTTTATTTAGTTTTGCATCCATGTGATGGTAGTGGCTCGTTTGTGTACCTCATATCCATCCTGGATGGTAGTGGCTAGTTTATTGTGTACCTCATATCCATCCTGTGGATGGTAGTGGCTAGTTTATGTGTATCTCATATCCATCCTGGATGGTAGTGGCTAGTTTTGTGTACCTATATCCATCCTGTGGATGGTAGTGGCTAGTTTATGTGTACCTCATATCCATCCTTGGATGGTAGTGGCTAGTTTATTGTGTACCTCATATCCATCCTGTGGATGGTAGTGGCTAGTTTACTGTGCACCTCATATCCATCCTGTGGATGGTAGTGGCTAGTTTATGTGTACCTCATAATCATCCTGTGGTTTAGTGGCTAGTTTATTGTGCACCTCATATCCATCCTGTGGATGGTAGTGGCTAGTTTATTGTGTACCTCATATGCATCCTGTGGATAGGTAGTGGCTAGTTTCTGTGTACCTCATATCCATCCTGTGGATGGTAGTGGCTAGTTTATTGTGTACCTCATATCCATCCTGTGGATGGTAGTGGCTAGTTTATTGTGCACCTCATATCCATCCTGTGGATGGTAGTGGCTAGTTTATTGTGTACCTCAATCCATCCTGTGGATGGTAGTGGCTAGTTTATGTGTACCTCTATCCATCCTGTGGATGGTAGTGGCTAGTTTGTGTACCTCATCCATCCTGTGGATGGTAGTGGCTAGTTTATTGTGTACCTCATATCCATCCTGATGATGAGGGTAGTTTTTTGGCCCCTATGTCCACTGAGGATGGTAGGGGATTGGTACCTGAATCCATCGTGATGTAGTGGCTAGTTTTTGGACCTCATATCCATCTATGGATGTAAGGGTAGTTTATTGTGTACCTATAGTTCTTGCGGATAACTAGAATAAATGGAAACACATAGGCGTCAAGGATTAAATTAGCAGGGTAACACGAGTAATTTGAGTAACATTAACATTATAAGTATTGTTGATGGTAAGAGTGGTTGTACTGGAGTAGTTAAGTGATGTGTAGAGATGTTATGAGGCTGGGATTGTGTGGGTTAGATTGGTTGGTAAGTAATGGATTGTACGGAGGTGTTAGGATTTGAGTTGGAGATTTTAACTAGAGTGATTTGTCGAGGTGATTGTACGGGAGTAGTTAGTGTTGGTAAGATGTTTGTATCATGGAGTAAGAATGTGAGAAGATTGTACCTGCGTTAAGTGATTGGGTAGAGAGGTTGCTGAGTAAAGTGATTATTTCGAATGTTGTACTTAGGAGTAGTGTTGTGAGAGGGTTTGTACCTGGAGTAAAGGGGATTATGCGGAGATATTGTACCTGGAGTAAAGTGATGTGGTAGATGGTTGTACTTGGATTAGTGATTATAGTCAATGCTGTGTATGGATAGTAGTGATTGTGTAGACTGATGACCTGGATCTTTAAGGGGATGGTAGATGTGTACTGGAGTTAGTGATTGTGTACGATGATATGTACCTGGATAGTTAAGTGATTTTAGAGATTGATTGTACCTGGAGTAAAGGTTATGTGGATGGTACCTGGAGTAGTTAATGTTGTGTATGAGATGATTGTCCTTGGAGGTAGTTAAGTTGATTGTGTAGAGATATTCTACCTGGAGTAAGTGTATTATTCGAGTGTTGTACCTAGTAGTCAATGATTGTGTAGAGATGTTTACCTGGAGTAAAGTGATATTCCGTGATGGTACCTGGGTAGTTTGAGTGATGTGTAAGTGTATCCTCCTGGAGTAAGTAGTTTATGTCGAGTGATTATACCATGTGTGTGATTGGTAAGTGTGCTAGTTTATTGTGAGATCATTGTACCTGGTGGATTGGTAGTGGATATTTTGTGTAGTTAATGCTTTGGGTGGATAGTAGCTGGATAAGTGTTATTGTGCAGCCTATATTAAGTGGATGTGTAGTGGCCTGTTGTGTTTACCTCAATATGCATCCTTGGATAGTAGTGATTTGTGTACGATGATTATCCTGGTGGTAAAGGTTAGTGGATATTTATGTGCAGTATAATGATTGTGGATGGTGTTGGCAAAGTTTATGTCAATATATTACCTGGGATGGTTGTGGCTGTTAGTGTGTACCATAAATGATCCTGTGGATGTAGATGGAAAAGTTTGTGTAGATCTGTACCTGTGAGTAGTGGAGTTTGTGGATCATATCCTGGGAGTAGTTGGCTGTTTAAATGTTGTACCTGGAAAAATGATATGTGGATGATTGTACCTGAGTTAGTGTCCACATATATCTGTGGATGGTTTTTGGCTAGTTTATGTCAGATGATATCCATGTTTTGTGTTTGGTGTGAGTTGATTGTGTACCTCATATTAAATCTGTGATAATGATTACTGGAAAAAATATGTCGAGATGAATGTACCCAGAAAGGGGTAGAGATGATGTACCATTGAGTAAAGTATTTAGAATGATTTGTACTGATTGTGATTGTGAGATGGTCTGTACCTGGAGTAAAGTGATTGTGTAGAGATGGTTGTACCTGGAGTATGTTATGTGATTGTTGTAGAGAAAGGTTTGGTACCTGGAGTATAAGTGATTTGTCGAGATGATTGTACCGGGAGTAGTTAAGTGATTGTGTAGAGATGATTGTACCTGGAGTAAAGTGATTATGTCGAGATGATTGTACCTGGAGTAAAGTGATTGTGTAGAGATGGTTGTACCTGGAGTAAAGTGATTATGTCGAGATGATTGTACCTGGAGTAGTTAAGTGATTGTGTAGAGATGATTGTACCTGGAGTAGTTAAGTGATTGTGTAGAGATGATTGTACCTGGAGTAAAGTGATTATGTAGAGATGATTGTACCTGAGATTTAAAGTGATTGTGTAGAGATGGTTGTACCTGGAGTAGTTAAGTGATTGTGTAGAGATGGTTGTACCTGGAGTAAAGTGATTGTGTCGAGATGATTGTACCTGGAGTAAAGTGATTGTGTAGAGATGATTGTACCTGGAGTAGTTAAGTGATTGTGTAGAGATGTTGTACCTGGAGTATAAGTGATTTGTAGAGATGTTGTACCTGGAGTAAAGTGATTATGTCGAGATGATTGTACCTGGAGTAGTTAAGTGATTGTGTAGAGATGATTGTACCTGGAGTAGTTAAGTGATTGTGTAGAGATGATTGTACCTGGAGTAAAGTGATTGTGTAGAGATGGTTGTACCTGGAGTAAAGTGATTATGTCGAGATGATTGTACCTGGAGTAGTTAAGTGATTGTGTAGAGATGGTTGTACCTGGAGTTAGTTTTAAGTGATTGTTAGTAGTGTTTTGTGTGTGTACCTGGAGTAGTTAAGTGATTGTGTAGAGATGGTTGTACCTGGAGTAGTTAAGTGATTGTGTAGAGATGGTTGTACCTGGAGTAGTTAAGTGATTGTGTAGAGATGGATTGTACCTGGAGTAAAGTGATTATGTCGAGATGATTGTACCTGGAGTAAAGTGATTGTGTAGAGATGGTTGTACCTGGAGTAAAGTGATTATGTCGAGATGATTGTACCTGGAGTAGTTAAGTGATTGTGTAGAGATGGTTGTACCTGGAGTAAAGTGATTATGTCGAGATGATTGTACCTGGAGTAGTTAAGTGATTGTGTAGAGATGATTGTACCTGGAGTAGTTAAGTGATTGTGTAGAGATGGTTGTACCTGGAGTAAAGTGATTATGTCGAGATGATTGTACCTGGAGTAAAGTGATTATGTCGAGATGATTGTACCTGGAGTAGTTAAGTGATTGTGTAGAGATGGTTGTACCTGGAGTAAAGTGATTGTGTAGAGATGGTTGTACCTGGAGTAGTTAAGTGATTGTGTAGAGATGATTGTACCTGGAGTAGTTAAGTGATTGTGTAGAGATGATTGTACCTGAGAGTTAGTCAATAAGTGGATTTAGTGTTAGAGATGTTGTACCTGGAGTAGTTAATTGTGTAGAGATGATTGTACCTGGAGTAGTTAAGTGATTGTGTAGAGATGATTGTACCTGGAGTAGTTAAGTAATTGTGTAGAGATGGTTGTACCTGGAGTATTAAGTGATTGTGTAAGATGATTGTACCTGGGTAGTTAAATGTAGATTGTGTAGTAGATGGTGTTGTACCTGGAGTAAAGTGATTGTGTAGAGATGATTGTACCTGGAGTAAAGTGATTGTGTCGAGATGATTGTACCTGGAGTAAAGTGATTGTGTAGAGATGATTGTTGAGTGATGCTGCTACTTTACGCAATAATTACACAGTGGGAAGAAGGACAGAGAATAGGTTGTACTTTTTCGTAATTTTAGAGGGTAAACTTTGTCTTAAATACAAAGGATAGTGTACACTCAC